AAAATAATATTTTTAAAAACCACATTTTTGTAGTGGAGAATAATAATTAAAACACAAAAATTTGAAAGACGAAAAACGTGGGGCGCATGAAATACATAACAGTAATGTTATATTAGTGTGTATGTGTGCTTATGAGAATACGTGTATGTATATCTGTAATAGTAATTGTATCTGAATGTGGATAGGTATGTGGAATATGTTTGTGTATATGCATGTGTATGAGGATGTATATGTGTATGTGTATGTGACTGTGCATGTGTATGAGTAAGAAAATGCGTATGTGTATATGTACTGTTATGTATTTCATGCGCGCCACGTTTTTCGTTTTTCAAATTTTTGTTTTTTAATTATTATTCTCCACCACAAAAACGTAGTTTTAAAAAATATTACTTTTTATTTTGATTTTTTTTGTACTCTCTTCCAAAATCTCTATTTTTTCACTCACTGTACGCAAAACATTTCAACTGACATGTGACGCTAATTTGAAATAATCGAATCGACAACAAAAGACAATGGCGAAAATATTAATTTTTCTTTAATTTTAATTTTATTTTACTTTGTATGTCTTTTTTCTCTTCATTTTCACGCATTGTCATTCAATTCTGAACTATGTGCCAAATTTGAAGTCTGTAGCTAGTCGGGAAGTTAGTTTAAAATCGATTACAAAATTCCTCCCGGACAGACATACACGAAGGCAAGTTGATATAGACGTGGTAAAAACTAGAAAACATAAATAAATAAAGTACGTGTTCTAAAATATGTTTCAGCATAATGTAGTATGTTTTAATACGTTATCAAACTAAAATAAGGAATAAAATAATACTAGTGGGTTTTGCCCCTTACTCGTAGACGCTCGCAAATATAAGTATTAATACTCAGTCTCATATGGTTTATCTTGTAATTTATCTCGCTTCGCTCCCTATCTAGCTGGTAAGTAGGACTCCTATACCAAAGCAGGAGATTGCTCTCCAGCGTTGGTAGCCCGAAGACCTGAACGCGAAGTCGAGCACTTTACGGTAGAACGGTTTGACGAGGACCAATGCTGCACAACTTCGGTCCCTACGCAGGATGACCAAAGTGGTCACCCAACCGGTTACTTTACAGCAGTCAGTGATGCTAGACTTCCGTGTTCTACTGAGAAGTGTGTCTTTGCGATTGATCCACTGCGGGACCCTACCTAGTTAGACCAGTCCTAGTATTCAGCATTATAAATAATTGCAGAAATTACTTCAGATGCAGAGTTACTCGCTAAATTATACAGCCAGCTTCCATCTTTAAGAAAAAAGCATTATGCCCATGACAATTTTGATTTTACTTATGATTAATTGTATCGAAGTCAATTCGAGAAAAGAATTGTATCATTTCAGAAGTATAATGCATGTTCAAACTATTCTTACACAATCATACATCTTATTAAATATCTCGCTAAAACATTTTATTTTATTTGAAACACTCCTTTAATTAAGTTACAACAGATTCATAAAAACTATATGTATGTATCCTATTTGCTAATAATTTTACAATTGATATTCTTAATATAACAAACAAACATAATATAGCAACAAACAACCATATTATAACAAACAATATATGCAAAAATAACTGCTTTTTGTGCAAAAAAAGCGCAATAAAATAGCTAGGAAAAACATCTAACTTTTAAAATTTTGAGCATAATTCAATATTTTATGACTGAAAGGCAAAATTGAATTTCGTCTCCGTATTATTTGTGGCCAAATATAGCATCGCAAGCAGTTATGTTTTAGAACTGACAAGAATCAAAATATTCCTTTTTGTGCAATAAAAAAACTGCCTTTTGGAGCAATAAAAAACTCCAATGAAGTAACTAGGAAAATCATCTAACTTACAAAATTTTGAGCATAAGTCGATATTTTATGACTGAAAGGCAAAACTGAATTTTGTGTCCGTATTATTTGTGACCAAAAATAGTATGCAAGCAGTTATGTTTTAAAACTGACAGGATAATAAATATTTTCTATTCTATTATATGCTTTGAAATCTTAATTATGTATTTCAATTAAGAGTAGTTCAGTTCTCTATTTTAAAGTCATTTTATGTAAATCATTAGGAGAAGAAATTTTTAATAATATATTTGAATATTTTCAATTTTCTAGATTATATCATTACTGTTTGCTTGTCTTATAACTTAAGCACAAACTACGTATCTTAAGCTCTACATTTAATTATTTGCTTGATTTATTTACAAAATTAGTTTTGAAAAATAATGTGCAAATCAATAATAACGTATATAATATATATTTAACATTATGACTGCATGTGGTAAATTCCTGAAGATTATATGAAATCTTTAAAAATAAATTTTAATGAATAAATGATTGAATAATTTATAAATATTTCGATTCTGTTTGGGTTTCTTCATATGAAAACAAATCTTAAAAAGCGCACATGTGCACAATTGATTCGAACTAATGAACTCAAAAAATTACATAATGTATTCACAAACGTATTCATCTTGTGACGTATTAAACATAGGGAGGATCTTAGAATTGCCCACTCAGAGGCAAGTGTTTGAAATCTCGCCGAAATAGGTTTCCGCAAGGTATTTTTGGGAGATTAATATGAACGCCTGATCACACCACCAAATATCTTAAAGCAGATTGGCTATTTGATATGTATACCTACGCGAAAGTTGGATTTCGTTAGAAAAAAGGTAAAAGGGTTAATTTTTTCCCCGTTTATACTTTTGATCTCTTGCAGTTAGAATCATCGTTATTATTCTTAAAATCAGCTTCATTATTATTAAATCATCGTTATTGTTATTAAACCATCGTTGTTATTATTAAATCATCGTAATAATTTAAATTGTTTCTTTTATTGTTTTTTCTTAAAGAAGGGCAACGTCGATCCCAGTAACAATCGTCAACTTAGCGAGATTTCAAAAAGTGGGCTATTCTAGAATTTTATCTTAAACATACCATTTCATTGAGCATAAAAAACGAAAGAGGAAACTGACATAAATGTCTTGGATCAAAATGTAAGTTAGAATTATTTTCTTACCAGTAGAAGTCGAGAAAAAAACTTTGAAAAAGCTTTAAAAATCATCTCCGAATTTAGCACTCACAAAAGCTGCTTTAATTCCTTCGTTCAATTAATTGGAGAAAAATATTCTGCAATAAAAAATAAAACTTGTAAGCAAACAAAGAATTACAATTTTCATCCTCTTCTTTCTTATTATTTAATCATAAATCAAGCTAAATTTCTAATATCTGAATGATTTGAATTTCAAATTTATTACTTAGACAGTAATTTGTTTTGTTTGAGGTCTTTTTGATCCAGTTAAGATGAAATTTATTCATATCAGTAATATTGTTATTCAAGTAAGCAAAAGATTAAATTTGTGCTGCACATTACAGAAGTTAAACAACCTAAAAAAAACCACAACAAATATCATAAAAAAGGATGTATTATAAATTTAGTTCAATAATCAAAAGACTTTTCAGGAACAGAATTGCAAAGAAAATAACAAAATAACACTGTCAAAAATTCAGAATCAAATTTCGGTAAAAAAATACTATCAGGATGCCGATAATTTTCAACGTAAAATCGATTTTTACCGGAACATATTACGGAACAAAACATCGGATATACTGTAATTTTTACAGTAATAATTACCGTAAAATCATCGAATCACTAAAGTTAAATACATATTACAGTAAAAATTACGGGTATAATATTTTACGATGAAAATGTATTTTACGACAAAATGGACCTTACGCATGATGCACCGGGACTATAAGCAGTAATTTAATCCTGAATTTTTAACAATTAAGTTACTCCAAAAAAGGAAGTTAACCGATGGAAAATTAAAGGAAATTTTAATACGGAATAAAATAATGAGATTTCTCTAATAAGGGAACTACTGAGTTCTGAATTACTTTCAAAAGATCTCCTTAATAAGATGAAAAAGAATTTACATGCTAAAAATGCTAAAATTATTAATATCTTTTAAACTCTCTGTTCTAATATGCTTCTATTAAACAATTTTTTAAATGTAGCTTTTCTCAACTCTGAAATTATTCAGAAAACGCATTAATTATTTATTATGCTTGCATTATTTTTCATAACATTTAAAACCTCGTGATAGTTTAAATGCATAATTTTTTAAATTATGGATGCTTGAAAAATAATTACTCCAGTTTTAGTTTATCTTACGTCTTTTTTTATTTTATTTAAAACTCATATTACAGGTTTCCGTATTTGAAGACAAAAACATTTTTTAATCTTTCAAGAATAAAATTATATTTAAACAGAAAATTACAACTCTTAAAATGTGTCTTAATACCTATTAAACAGAGACACATTTTTTAAACGTATTATAATTAGTGTTGCATGACCGTATTTAAATGTTTTGTCATTATATAATTTTTTTATGAGTGTAATATGTAATTAATTATTCAAGAATTACTCTGCAATGCATCAAATGAATTGTAATTTTTTTTTAAAAAACTATGTTTTATGCTTCGTTTATTTTTTTAAAATATTAAGAGCTGAACGTTGCCTGATTATATTTCCTAGAATAAAATAGCCGATAAAGATGACAAGCTAAATTTAAAGCCTGTATATTTTTGGCAAGAAGTCCAATTCCATTTATTAACATCTTTCTATCGTTTTAAGTGATTTAGCCTGAAACACGAAGATCGATATTATAAATAATTTAGACAATTTTAAATATTCAAAACATGTAATGTTTTAACATAGATAAAACCTTGTTTTTATAGTATAAAACAAAATTTATACTTGTTTTATTTCAATTTGTTTGATTAAATTCCACCTCAATATTAATGGACTGTATCATACGATTTATTATCACTCTCATATAAAATATTAAATTTTGCTGTGATTTATAACTAGATTGCAACGCATGGAATTCTGCAATTTTTTGAATTTTTCAAACTAAACCGTACTTATGTTTGAAAGCAATTTTTTAATAATAATTTCTCAAACCGAAAAAAAACTATAAAACAGACTTTAAAGAATTGTTAAAAAATGACTAAAATTTGTAAAAATTAATGCTATTATATACTGACCAAATATTTAAATCCATCTCAGTCTAATTTTTAATATAAATTTTTTTTTATGATAAATGGTTATAAATTATAGAGTTGGCGATGAAACTTAAGAATTTAGGATGATTTATATTATTGCAATTTATGGCATATGCTAGTCGGCTAACAACATTATTTTAGATTCTGAATGTATTTTGGATGTATTAGTCTTTTTATATTATTAAGAAATCATAATATAAATAATTTAATACGAAGTACTTAGTTGAAATTTCGTCTTAAAGGATAATGTAAATATAGGCTCGTCTACGAGGAAGATTACATCTAATGCACTAACGTGGAGAAATCCTCTTCACTAAATCTTATAATTGGAAATGAGTTAACTATAATAAATTACGGTTAAGATTGTGAAATTCTAGCAAGTCGTTATGTTTTAAATGATATATTATCAAATTTCAAAATTATTTCTTACATTTTCTGATTTGCGATTTATTTCCCACTTTAGGATGTCAAATATGGAACTCAAATTTCCTTTTTTTTTGGATCATTGTCATTTAATAAGATTTAAAACTTTTTTTCCAAGGAGTTTATTATGAAATATATAAGCTGATAGTGTTTTTTACTTTACTTTACTTTATATTAGGATATTTACTTTATATTAACTATTACTTTATATTAGGATTTTAAATCTTTTTAAAATACAAATGAATGGGAATTCATCTTTGAGAAGTGTAGAACAATTTTTTATTTATCTGTATTTATATATTTATTTACATTTGCCCTTGATCTGCTAAATTTAAAATCGATTTGAAACCTTTACGGGGATGTAACTAACGGATGTTGAATATGAAACGCAATTTATTTTAATCAACAAATTTCAAATACAAAAAATATAAAAAAAGCCCAACAATTTAAATTCATCATTTTTTTCGAAATTGTGAAATTCATTCTAAAATTCATTTGAAATTTTAAAATACATAAAATGCATAAAAGAAATATAATGAAACAGTTTAATACATCATTAACAATAATTTGAAACAAATTACACGAACCGGAACTAAATAATTTATTACTCTAAATTAAGATTACACTATGTTGTCTAGAGATCTCTAATTTAGCATGAAAATTCTAAATAGAAATGCAAACATTTTTAACGTTTAGATAACTTATGATAAATTGCTTATGAATATTTGATCATAATAGTTTTGAATTTGCAATTTAATTTCCCATCACTAAATGATGTAGTTTCGTTACTCAGAAATTAAGATATTTTAGTTTGAATAAAATCCTTATAGAGAATTATTACGCTATGACTTTCCCATCCATTTACAACTAACATGTTTATTGGAGTTCGCTTGAATTTGTAAAATATTATCATCTATTTATTTTCGCTTTATTTACATCGCTGTAATTCATTTCAATCAGTTACACAAAATATAATCTGCATAAGATGATATAATAACAATTTTGAAAATTGTGATTAGGATGAAATAGATGGTAATTTCAATTATATAACGTGTTGTTATTTCTAAATTAATGAATAATATAATTATGAATATAAGTATGAATAATTTAAGCTGAATTTTAAGTGTTGTAACAATATGTGAATTTTATAAAGAATTCATAAAGGTTATATAAATAGTTTTATGTTCATGAAATGCGAGAGTGCAACATGATAATTCTCAATTTAGACGTAAAAATGTAAGCTACATCTCCGTTTTATTCAACAATAGTTATTAAAATACTGCTTTTTTTCTAAAATGTTTAAAAGTTATAAAGATTAAAATTTAAAAAATATTACGATTCCTATTACTTATGTATTATTCCTTATTTCATGCATAACATTAAGTAGTAACAGATGAAATGTTCTTTTTTAACATTTCATTGCTGAGCTTTCAAATCTGGTCACAGCTCAAAATGTGCGTTTACGAAAATGAACTTAGATCAAAATGCGTATTTACAAAAATAGATAAAGCTCAAATTGCGTATTTACAAAAATAGATAAAGCTCAAAATGCGTATTTACAAAAATAGATAAAGCTCAAAATGCGTATTTACAAAAATAGATAAAGCTCAAAATGCGTTTTAATGAAAATGGAAATAGATATAAATGAGAGTTTACGGAAATGGACACTGCTCAAAATATATGTTTTCAAAAATGGACCAGTTCAAAGGCGTATTTGCAAAAATGGACATAGCTCAAAAAGTGTGTTTACAAAAATACACATACTCTAAAAAAGTATTTAAGAAAATGGACGTAGCTCAAACTGCGTGTTTACAGTGCAAAGCAATAAGCTCGGAATTCTGACGTCGTAACAAATCCGTAATGCAGTTAGGAAAATTTAGTGGGAGAGATTTTAAAATTTTGTTTTAAAATCCATAAATTGCCGCTACCTTAAATACTAAAACTTTTAAATGTTTTATTACTACAACTTTTAAACATAATTGTTGAATGACTTTAAAAAAATAATATTTATTATACAGTATGCAAAATAAAAATAAATCGAATGCCGTAATAACTTTTCATGTAATAATAGGATTTTAGCGGCGGACAATGATAAAACCCTAATATTTAGAGGTACTAAGAACAGAGATTATCAAAAATGTGAAGGATTATATTAATTGATAACAGTAATAAACATACCCCTTTTTCGACGCATACGGACCCCAAAATATATGGGTTAGCCGCCATCTGGGAAATATGGGGCCCATGATTTGGCAATAGAGCAGCCCAAAGTTTGGACTCCTTTAAGTTTATTTTACTTTTTGTGCATTTCCTTATATCTCGGGAGCTTCTTAAGCGAATTGAAAAATTTTGCACAAAGTTATAAAAGTTAAAAGTCGTTTATCCAAAGATAATTCTATGCAAACTAATAACTTTCCGTAAATATTTATTTTTTTACTTATTTTATTTAATAATAGTTGAAAACTTTTAAATTGCCAGGTAAGCAATTTTTACATCATTTTAAAGATTGCAACTCTAAATGGCGAAATACAAAATTTGAGTGAAATTAGTTGAATATAGCTCCTGAGAAACTAAATTTAAAAAAAAATACGAATTTTTCAGAATTTTATTTCTTATGAACTATTGACTCAAACTTTGCA